TGAACCTTAAGAAAGTCATCGATTGACATCCAAAGGCTTGAACACATGATACCCGTGAAGATCCGGGTTCGAATATTGACCTTCAGTAACCCACGCTTGTCGTAAAAGGCGGGATCGGGTGGTCAGGCTCGCTGACTTGGTTAACACATGTCATCGATTACCAATTGCGCAGATCGATGCTCATGCTGTTGATCACTGGATTGTTTGGTCCAGACTCGATTATTTACAGACCGCCGTCATATAGCTGGAATATTGCTGAATGCAGTGTAAAACTAAACTCACTCACTCACTTGAACACATGAAGTAACACGTGTCCAAATAGATCACAGTGAAATTCCTCTTTCTGCACAATGTACGAGTGTGATGATCACCAGCGAGTACTCCTGTATGATCGTATCTTGTATCAACTGCCAGAATTAAAAGTTGCATCAGCTGTGTGTTAAACACGGTTGTAGTCTATCAGGCTATAGGATCAAGGGTCACCTAAACGACGCCAGTGATTACGAAGACATTTAATTTTGTATGTATTAAAACTAGTTTAAATAACAACCTAATTCAAATGATGCATGCTAAAATGTTTTACTTTGGTGCCATGCTATGTGATGAAATGCATCGATTTTGGAACATTCAATAAAACAACTCCTGATGGGGTTTCAGGGTATGAAAAGGGGAATGAGGATCACGACGAACTGGTTGATGACCTGTCATGGTCGATAATTGTGTTATATCAATCACTGGATGGTCTAATCTAGACTCGAGTATGCAAGGGCGATACCTGAGATACGCAGACTTTTATATTTTGACGTCGTGATGAAAATTGACGGCGGGCGAGCGAGTGGGAGGAAGTAAACAGGAAAAATACGTGCAGTTTTAGCTTCGGAAAATATGTTATTTTTAACAACTCTGTTCAAATCGGAAACCAAGTGAATTAACATGAACCTGTGGGTTTATCACTGTAGTCAGGGCTAGATGGATTAGGGACGGACCAGATGACACACTTTTTGCCAGATTCCGTCATCCTAATTTTCGTTGGTTCTTATCTGAAGCAGATGTATGCTGCACTGCAGAGAAACCGAGTGAGTTTAGTTTTATGCCGCACTCAGCAATATTCCAGGTACTACACGGCGGTCTGTTAATAATCAAGTCTGAACCAGAGTTTCCAGTGATCAACAGCATGAGCATCTATCTACACAATAGTGATACGATGACATGTGTCAACCAAATCAGCGAGCCTGCTCAAAAGCCTATTACTATATCCTGAGCTCTTCAAGTAGGATACCAAGATTGGAACTGTATTTCCCTAAGTCGTTTAAATCAACACAAGACACCATACTGAGATGGTTTCAGTACATGATACTCCATAGAATTGTACCTACCAATACAATTCTCCAAAAGATTAAAATAAACGATTCTGATTTATGTTCATTCTGCAATGAAGAAAAGGAATCTATTTGTCACTTGTTATGGGAATGTGAATTTGTGCAAACCTTTTGATCAAAGTTTTTATCATCGTTAACAGAAGGTTGTGAGCACATCCATAACGTCACGTTGGAACTGGTAATTTTTGGCTGTAAGAAAAATGTTTTTACCGATTCTGGGTTTGACTTGTTCATATTATTGGGAAAATATTACTTCTTCTTTACCAAATGTTGCTCGGTTCAGAAGTGAGTTGTATATACTTTAACAGAAACTGTAATGCCGAATTATATTCTAAAGGTGAGTGAATGGTTTGTCTTGTTTCATAAAACATATACACCTGTATCCCATTACACTGCTTCATATCTTCTGACTTTGCAGTTCCCTGGGTGCTGAGTCGTGTCTGTAACAGGGTTTCAGGAATAAAATTTATATAACAAAAACAAGTCAGCGGGCCTGACCCCGATCCCGTTAGTCGCCTCTTACGACAAGCATGGGTTACTGACGATCAATTCTAACCCGGATCTTCACGGGTAGCAGAGAAAAGAGCTCAGGTCACAAATCAGTTGAAGTTAATCAACGTTGATGGCGGAGAGTCTTTGTGTGGGTGACCATGTTTGGCAGCTTGACTACGTTATGGCCTCTCTGTAGCCATAAACACTGAGATCATATTTAGGATAAACGGACATGTTTTGCAGGTCATTCGTGACTGATTGTCAGTTTCATCAAAGACGTATATACGTCCTTGGTTTCATGCACATTATTTCATCCGATCGTTAATATTTATTTCAACACTAAACAAAGTTTATGCATTAAATAACCGGACAAATTTCATTTCAACTGGGTTGTTTTTCATGTTGTTTTTTAAAGAATTTTTGGGTGCTTCTTCTAAAGAATTAAGATTTGTAAAAGGTGTTAAAGTAGGATGAACTTTCAGAGACCTAGCAAAATAGTCTTGGAGAAAACGGCCAAATGTGTTTGTGGCTAAAATGTCCGACAACAGATCTAGAAAAACTATTGACTTGTGCCATGGTAGTGTGAAGGATGCCTACAAATCTTTTGCAAAGGCTCCGATGGGGACTTCTGATCACAATACTGTTTATTTAGTTCCTTTGTATTGTCAAAAATTAAAGTCAGAGAAGCCAGTCTTAAAATATGTAAAGTCGTGGACAAAAGATTGTTTGAGCAGTTGAGAGGATGTTTTGATTGTACAAATTGGGATATGTTTGAACATACTAGTGATAATTTGAATGAGTTTACAAATACTGTAACTGATTATATAAATTTCTGTGTAGAAAACATTGTGCCAGTTAATGTATTAAAATATTTCCTAATAACAAGCCTTGGGTAACTAAAGAGTTCAAATCAGTTTTAAATGAAAAGAAAAGGGCTTTCTGTGCAGGGGACAAGGTCAAGGTTAAAGAGATTCAGATAGAGATTGCTTGTTTAACAAGGAAATGTAAAGATGAATACAAAACAAAGATTGACAGACAATTTTCGGTAAACAATTTACGTAATGCATGGAGTGGCATAAAAACTATCATTGGATCAAATATTAGGCCTCGACAGTTGGAATCCAGCGATGACTTATCTTTTTCAAATGAGTTAAAGTCATTCTACTCCCGATTTGATACTGGGAATTTTTCAGATGAAAGGAAACTTGTATTGGAATCGCTTCCACCTTGTGAAATGTTAAATATATCGACAGAAGATGTGATTAGTTCATTCGCTAAGATAAATCCACATAAATGTTGTGGGTCTGATAACTTGCTAGGGATTGTTCTTAAGGAATGTAGAGTGCAACTGGCTGTTATTTTTCAAAAGCTATTTCAGATATCAATTAATTCTCATAGTGTTCCCATTCTTTGGAAAACCTCTAAAATTATTCCATTGCCAAAAAAGAAAAATCCCTCTGTTAATAATGACTTCAGACCAGTGGCCCTAACCTCTATTGCCATGAAATGTTTGGAACGTATTGTTAAAATCTCATTGTTGAAAGAAGTCAGCCATGCTCTTGACCCATTACAATTTGCATACAGAACAAGGCGTGGGGTAGATGATGCAACAATCACTCTGTTAAACAATGTCTATAAGCATTTAGAAAACTATGGTACTTATGTGAGAATAATGTTTGTTGATTTTTCATCTGCCTTTAATACTATTCAACCTCATTTGTTAATTGATAAACTTTTCAAAATGAATGTTAATTCTAACATCATCAAATGGATTAATTCACTTCTAGTTAACAGACAACAATTTGTACAGGTTAATAATGTGAAATCATCAATTGTAAACACATCAACTGGCGCTCCACAAGGTTGCGTCATTTCACCAATTTTGTTTATATTGTACACCAATGACTGTGTATCCAACACAGAAACATGTTTAACAGTCAAATTCGCGGATGATGCTGCATTGGTAGGCCTTATTAGGGAATCAGAACTTAGTTACAGAGCTGAAATTTCTAAATTTGTAGAAGGGTGTAAATCACATTTTTTATTTTTGAATGTGCAAAAAACCAAAGAAATGATCATAGATTTTAGGAAAGCTAAGTCAACAATAAATGCTGTAACTATTGAAGATAATGAAATCGAAAGAGTAACTGAATACAAATATTTGGGTACTGTCTTAGATTCGAAACTCTCCTGGAACGAAAACACTGAGAAAATATATAAAAAAGGACAGCAACGCTTGCATTTTTGTGGAAGTTGAAACATTTTAAAATCGACCAAACTATCATGATGTTATTTTACAAAACCTTTATTCAAAGTGTCATAAACTTTAATTTCATGAGTTGGTTCGGGAACCTGTCTGTTCAGAATAAAAAAAACTTTCAAAAATCGTAAACACTGCGTCTAAAATTATTGGGCTTCCTATCGAAAGTATCGGCAGTTGTTATGAGCAGCAAATTTCAAAAAAGCTAAACAAAATTTTAAGTGATCCTACTCACATACGCTTTTCTGAATATTCATCATTACCTTCTGGACGCAGGCTGCGTATGCCGACTTTTAGAACAAACAGGGCTCGCCACTCATTTGTTCCAGCTAGTATTAGATGCATTAACAACAAATTCTGTGAATGACTTGTCTTTAATTGTCAAAATTCTATTCAATATCTATGTTTGTGTACTAAATTGATGTATTTATATCCTGATTATTTCATGATTACCAATTTCAATGTTATGTATGGCTGCTTTATGAATGAAAAACTGGAGAACGTATGATGCAAAACAAATTTCCCTTGGGACAATAAAGAATTATCTTATCTTATCTTATCTTAATAACCGAATGTACATCAATATTCAAGACAATGGCAAAAGCGGTATGCATGTTTGAACATTTGGGAGTGATCCCCCGTGATAGCAACGCGACAAAGCTCTTTTCAGCGATACGTCGTTCCTTGAACCTTGTATACCGAGGTAGCACGCATTGAAATGGAGCTTTCAAGTCGGGCGTCGCCTAGTTGTCACGTGACTGTAGGATGACATCTCATTGGCTTGTTGTATGACCTTTAACCTCACCCACGGTGACAGATGCGGCAAAGTTTCAGAGAAGGAAAGTTGTCCTCCTTACTTTTCTGAGAAAATGACGCGCAAAAAACGCGGCAAGTGCTGCAAATTCCTTCCTTGCTGTTCAGGTAAGAACATGGACTATACGTTGAGAATAATAAGCGTTATACTGTTATTAAAACGTTTTATTAGAAAACGATAAATTGACAGCGTTACGTCTCAATGACAGAACGCTTTAGTTCCTTGCTTTATTTCATTTCCACTAACAGAGAGCAATGCTTTCACTGTATTTTACATATGCAGGCATCTTTGGAATCTTCTGTAATTCATGCAGATAAGTTCTAGTTAATTTTGTTAGATGCAATGGCAATGCCTTCAGAGCGACCCCTTTTTACCGCCGACCGGGGCGTCGTTCGGTTTCTCTTCTGTATACGATGACTGTTTTGGACTCGTCAGCAAACGAGCTCAGAAATCATCCGTTGTGGAAATAAGAAGTAACACTAGAATCTGTATGTGATCTTCATTATTCTCCCAGACAATCACCAGATGTCACACTTGGATCTTTTTTAACACTTCAGTAGTGAGATTGAATTTGTAACAAGGAAATGGGGTATTTAATTGGAATTTGTTAAATCTAAATTTACTTGAACCATGCCATGGACATCGTAATTAACAGCGTAACAAAATGATAACAAAGGTATTTACTTCATTGAACTTACCTCCCGTTAATTGGGACTCAATGTCAGCCGCACATTTTGGGTAATGATGTTTTAAGGATACATTTTCACCTACTGCCGTGCCTGTTTTCCGTTATTTGTCTGAAACCAGTCATAAGTTTTAAAGGATCCGGGGCCAGATATTTACTTGAGAATATAAACAGTTGATGGTATGTCAACATAACATATTTGGCACATTTGATGTTTCTTTTGGGCATTTATCTTTTCTGTTATTGGTATCCTCCTATGCCAGGAAGCTTAAGTTAATATGCATGCCATGCCATTGTCATACATATTGGTAATCAAATTAAATAGGAAATGTTTTAACACAAATTCATTCTTTTATCATTTAGTTAAAGATAGTTTGAGTCCAGCTAGTAGTCCATTGTCCATTGTGTGATTGGCTCTAGTGGTCCATATACTAGGGTTACATCTACAGTCAAGTATGACAAAGCAAAATGACAGGTGGATAATGAAATTGATTTCATTTTCCCTTATTAGGGGTTTTCATTTGATAGAAATGGTTTACTCATTATCTAAGCAGAAAAGTAAAGGAAACCCTTGCTTAAAGGGTGAAATCTTATGGATATCAACTTGTCACATGAGGAACAGAACATTTTGGAGTATATTCTTAGTCCTTCAGCAGGCAGTATGCTTTCAACTTTTCATACATTATTGATTAATGTATTTGAGTCTGAATGATGATTATGTTTCAGATGCAGAAAGTGAAGCAATTGAAGACTTTGCAAATTTTGAAGATACTACTCTTGCTCGTAAGTATAGTGTGTATTTACAACAGTTTTTGTTCTGTAACATTTTTTGTTGATTATGTGAAAAGAACTGAAATGATAGCCTCAAAGCTTGACAGAATACATTGTATATCATGCTTGAAGGGATTTGTGAGAGAATGCTGATATTCCATATTCCAACAAGGCCCTGTTTCTGTCAATTACTGTATTGTAGAGGTTAGAGGTCCCTTTTCCTACCGTGAAATATTTCAACAGCCCAACACAAAAAATCTCTCTGTGGAATTCAATGAACTTCTACATGGGCTTTCTTGGGACTCTAATGGTGTGCATCTCATATTTTGTTTTTGTATTTTATTGGTTTTTTTTTGTAAGTTTAGAGACATTTGAACTTAGGTACATTTTGCTGAATTTCTCTCTGATGATAGTGTAATGGGGGATGAAGTCTATCCACTTCTCCACAAATACTGCTCAACAGAATTGAATGAACTTCTACATGTCTTTCGTAGGGACTCTAAAGGTGTGCATTTCATAATTTTGTATGCAATTTCTTAATTTTGTCACTTTTACAAATGTTTGAACTTAGTTGAATTTTGTTCTATTCAGCCTGTTTGTTCCATCCAACAGGTGGTGTACGTTATCCACTTCTCCTCAAAAACTACTTTATGGAATTCATTTCGATTACACATGTGTTTTATAGGGACTCTAAAGGCGTGCATCTCATATTTTGATTTTGTATTTTATTTATTTTTCCAATTTTAATGCCGTTTGAACTTACATAAATTTTGTTGAATTTCTCTCTGAATATAGTGTTATAGGGGATGAAGTCTATCCACTTCTCCACAAAAGCTGCTCAACAGAATTGATTGAGCTTCTACATGCGTTTCATTGGAACTCTAAAGGTGTGCATCTCATACCTTGTTCATCCAATTTCTTAATTTTGTCACTTCTACAGATGTTTGAACTTAGTTGAATTTGGTTCTATTCATCCTGTTCGTCCCATACAACAGTGGGTGTACTTTATCCGCTTCTCCTGAAAAACCACTGCACAAAACTCATTTAGCTTACATATGTCCTTTATAGAGACTCTAAAGGTGTGCATCACATATTTTGTTTTTGTATTTTGTATTTTTTTGTATGTTTAGAGACATGTGAACTTAGATAAATTTTGTTGAATTTCTCTCTGATGATAGTGAAATAGGAGATTAGGTCTATCCTCTTCTCCACAAAAACTGCTCAACAGAATTGATTAAGCTTATACGTGTGTTTCATTGGGACTCGAAAGGTGTTCATCTCATATTTGCATAGATGTTTATTAAACTTGTTCGTGAATTTTGTTTAATTATTGATCTTTATATGATAATGTGTTAGGTTGTGTTATCTAACCCCTCAACACATTGTTTTTAGTGTTTTCAAGTACTTCAGTAGGACCCTGAATGTGTGAACTCTTCCTACAGCAGCAGGGGCATCCGTGTCCCTGGACACAATTTTTTTCTTGTTTTTTTCTTAGTTGGTTGACACATGTCATCATATCCCAAATGTGTGCATTGATGCTGATGCTGTTGATCACTGGATTGTCTGGTCCAGACACAATTATTTACTGATATGGCGTTAAACAGTAAACAAACAAACAACAACAGCACCTAGGGACTGATCATTTGCTATTGTTGGAGACTTTTTTGTTAAAAATGTAAAATTTATGCACATAGTTATAATTTAAGAAATGTCTGTTTTTTCAGCTTTCATGTGACTATACTCTTATGGATCAATTATGAATAGTAGGATGAGTTTACACCTAAAAATATTATTTTAGGTGGGAGGGTACTTCTAAAGAGGTATGAAGAAAGTCATCCTCCACGTTGCTCATCAGTGAAAGACACTGAAACTGAGATAGAGGAGATCAATATTACTCAAAGAAGCCCACCGAATGCTCCAGCAGATGGTATTCTGGATATCACTCCAGAACTTGATAGCAGCTCCTCTGTTAGAGATCAGTCTGATGATGCTACTGATGATACCAGAGGAAAAGATTCCAAGGCCAGGAAGCACCACAGTGTTCCTGCAGAAATAGATATTGTTGCCAGACATGTCAAGAGTCCACATAGTACCCAGCCACTGCAAGTGGATAGTGGGAGAGTAGATGTGGATGTTAAGATCAAGAAGAGGCACAGTGTTCCTGAAGATAAAGCACAGAGGGCCTCCAGAGAAGCCATCAGGACCCCTCATGGTATTCAGCCACTACAAATCAAGAAAAGGTATGATGAATCTGATGCTAAGTTGAAGGATAGCCAAAGCGTTTCTGCAGACGAGGTTGAAAAGACCATCAGAGATGTCATTAAGAGGCCACACAGTGCTCAGAAAAAGAATGCCAGTTATGGACATGACATAAGCGCTACAGAAGATGACTTGAAGGCTACCAGAAATATCAAGACTCCTCTTAGCAGTGAGCAAGAAGATGTCAGTGGTAAATGTGATGCTGATGCTGAGGTAAGAAGGTCTCCAAGCATTCAGGATGTCAGTGCCAAGCAGACCTCCAAAGATTCTTCCAAGACTTCACTTTGCAGTCAAGAAAGTGACAAAGTCCTTAAAAGGCACAGAATCTCTGAAGGAAAAAACATCCAAGATGTTGACAGAAATCTGCAAAGTCAACATGTTACTGAATCAGCAGAATTCAGCAGTGGCAGTGATGACAACAATGTCCAGATCAAGAAAGTCACAAGAGATGATGCAGATGCCAAAATCAAGAACAGACGCAGCAAGCCTGAAGACAAGGCCAAAGCTACTCCTGATGCCATCAAGCAGCCACATGAATTCAAGGAATCAAAGGTCAACCTTCGAATTGATTGTGCTGATGCCAAGACTAGAAAGCAACCCAACATTAATGAAGATAAAATCAAGACTGTCAGCAGATATGACATCACTGCCTCAGATGACTTTCAGCGTGTACAAGTTCATTCTGAAAGTGTTGATCGCAAGGTCAAGAAATACAGTGGTCCAACCATAAATGGAGACAGCACCTCCCCACCTCTACCAGCAAGTGAGGATGTTCAGAAGGTGAAACATGACACTCATCCTCCAGGCAAGCCAGAGATACTTGCTGTAGAAGACAAGAACGACATTCTTGATATTGATGCCAAGATGGAGAAACATAAATGTGTTGCTACAGAGGATAGAGCACAGGTTGCAACAAGTGGGGCTCAGACGAGCCATCACATCAGTCAGCACTTTGAAACAGTTACTGGAAAACTGACCATGAAGGCTGAAGACAATGCTGTCCATCAAGTTGATTCAACAGAAGCACAGGCTACTGCTGCTATAGCTGATCTTCATAGGCCATCTTCACTTCCAGTGGTGTTGGTAAGAGATATGCAAGCAGCTGAACATGACCATTTTGTAGTGAAAGCTGCAGGAGGATCACCCAAGGTAAAGAAAGATAAACTGAGATTTGTCAAATCTGTCCACAGTGAAAATGTTTGTGTGTCAGACACTCTTCGTTTAATGTCCAGAGAAGAAGAAGTGCATTTCTTAACACTTGACACAGAAGATGAGCTTGAAGCGCAAGAATGCAAGGCACAGAAAAGGAAGAGCAAAATTCCAGTAAGGGTGAAAGTACAGGAAAAATCAGATTCAGCATCAGATCATTCAAGTGGTTCTACCACCAAACTCCCTGCTCATCAGAACAGATCTTCCACCAGGCTTCCTGTTCCTCAAACCAAATCTACAACCAAGCTCCCAGCTCCTCCAAGCACAGCTACCGCCAAGTCAAGCTCATCTAACACCAAGCAGCCTTCTCCCCCAAGCAAATCTACCACCAAGCACTCTGCTTGCCAAGGCAAATCAACCACCAAGCAGCCTTCTCCCCCGAACAGATCTGCCACCAAGGACTCTGCGCCTCAAAGCAAATCTAAGTCGAGCATGTCTACCACCAAGCAGTCTTCCCCTCCGAACACATCTACCGCCAAACAGCCTTCTCCTCCGAACACATCTACCACCAAGCAGCCTTGTCCTCCAAACACATCTACAACCAAGCAGCCTTCTCCTCCAAACACATCTACAACCAAGCAGCCTTCTCCCCCAAACACATCTACAACCAAGCAGCCTTCTCCTCCAAACACATCTACAACCAAGCAGCCTTCTCCTCCAAACACATCTACAACCAAGCAGCCTTCTCCTCCAAACACATCTACAACCAAGCAGCCTTCTCCCCCAAACACATCTACAACCAAACAGCCTTCTCCGACGAACACATCTACCACCAAGCAGCCTGCTCCTCCACCAGTTCCTCCTTCTGGTCCAATCAGGAAGCCCAGAGTTAGTAGAGCATCCAAGGCAAAATTGCCAGATGACAAATTCAAATTCATGAAGAAAGATGATGAGTTGCCCAGTCCTCCTGATTCAGGTAAAATATAGTTTTGTACGATTTAAGATATGACCTTACATTTTATGATTATTTGTAATTCCCATTTTTGTAAATGATGTGAATTTTGTCTTTCTGAATGATAATTACCAATTACACAAACTCATGGGAGTACTTGTTTGAAATTATTCAAGGTAAAGCATTGATTTATGTTCAATTTACAATCTTTAGGAAGAAATGTAGAAGTTACATTGATCCATTAATTGCTTCAAAAGTTGACCAGTGTGCCTACAATTAGAACTAGTAATTTAAGAAACAATGCATAAATAACCTCTAAGTCAGTTTTGATGATGGTACCAGATGAATCAATATCGCTGAAGCCAGCCAATACAAAGATGAAGATTCCAGAGCTGTTTCTAGATGAGAATGCTGCAGCACAGAAGCAGGAATCATCAGGAAGTGATACAGATCCTGACTTTTACAAGCTGATTGGGTTTGACTTAGACAAGGCTAGAGCACTCAAACATGCAGGTATGTCTTTTTTTATGTTGTGTACTGATATTCTGATAGGGCTGGGACGATGCACTGATACATCACGATACATTTTAGTTTGATACATCTATTGTATCGTTGACTGGTGTATTGATACAAAATGATACACAACTTTTTTTCAAAACAGTAGAGTCAGTACTCCGAATACCGCACAGGCTCCTAAGTTCCGTACACTTTGATTTGTGCGCAATAGCTTATTATGTTTGCGTGTGGCATCGCCTTACCGTTGTCGCTTTGAAATGAGGTAATTCCCAACTCTATTTTTAGCTATCGTGTGTATTTGTCATGCGCTTTCTCTTCGAGATACGATTGGTTATCACGTTGTGCACTTGCGCAATAGCCACTCTCTCCACTTCTTGCCGGGTTGACGTCAAGGTCACTATCCGAGACTCTCTACGCGCTACGCCTAAAAGCGTGAAATTTAAACATCACTCACGGCACGAAAACCTGAAATAATGTATTTGAGCTGTCCAAAAATGTAATCTTCAAACACAGTGACCGGTTTCGTACAGGTTACTTTTAAAAGTAACACAGAATGAGGCGTACGATATTTGATGCCCAAATAATTATATTTTTTTGCCATGCTCCTTATTTCGTACAGTGACATTTTATTTTTTCCCATGTCATATTTACTCATATGAAACATTTGCATAGGCACTGATAAACAGTGAATATTACATATAGACATATAATAGAATAATATAAGTGTATATGGCCGTTGTTGAAGTCCATTTCTTACTTATTGTGAGAAAAGTATTTATCGTTGATATTAGCCTGTGCTAGCTTGAGGTTTTTTATACCGGTTATCACTCCTTTACGGGCACGGTGGGGCAGAATAATGGTTAAAACGTTTGCTCGGCACGCAGGAGACCCGGGTTCGATTCGCCATTTCTGGTGTCCCCCGCCGTGATATTGCTGGAATATGGCAAAAAGCAGCGTCAAACCATACTCACTCACTACTCTAGCACAGCCTTAATGTGAAATGACAACACAAAGAATGCATACAGAGTAACTGTACATATTTTATAACACATCCACGAATGTTGTAACAACAAATACATAAATGTAAAATTATAATAGACATATAATAGAAAAATACACAAAGCAGGCTCTTTGGAGTGCAGTTGCCACGGTTACGGGGCAGGGTCTGTCATTTCGAACTGCATCGAAATGTTTTAAAGTACCCGTCATGACCATTAGCGATCATGTCCGGGGAATATCTGAGGGAGGGAGTCTTGGCCGCCCATCAGTACTGACGGCGGCAGTTGAAGAGATTGCCGACAAAATAAAGGCTGCAACCCGTCGCCAGCTTGTCCTAAAGGGTGGATCGCTGGATTTTTTAAGCGCCACCCCGACATACATTTAAGATCGCCCGTACCTCTCACCACAGTCAGAGCAAGAATGCTCAATCCATCAGTGACTAAAAATTACTTTGATGAACTTGAGAAACTTGTCTACAGTCTAGGGTTAGACGATAAACCACACGTAATTTGGAACATCGACGAAACAAGTGTTCCGCTGCCACATAAACCAACTAAAGTTATGGCTGATTTGACGTCAGCTTGGATTCATCAGGAGAAGGGGGAGTTGCTGATGTTCCTGTTGTTGCTGAAGCAGACAATCCGGCGACTTCTGATACTGTTACACCTGATGCCGGAGTGTCTGCTACACTAATAGCTGGGACATCACTGGTTCCATCTACATCTGAAGCAGAAGGGTGGGAAGTCAGCTTCCAAATCTAATGTTGTAAATACCTAAACAAGATTTGTTATTTGGGACCATTGTTTGTAATTGTGTGTGTGTGTTGTGTTGTGTGTGTGAGAGATATGATTTTAAGGTGGGGGCATCAATTTTGTACACATGCACTAGGGGGATCAGCAATTTTGTACACAAAATATTACAAAAATACGCTTAGAATTATGGGGGTGGCATTGATTTTGAACATAACATGCTGGGGGTTCACGTACATTTACAAGAATAATTAGGGGAGGGGAATCAAATTGTACAGGCTTCTCCATAAAAATCATCAAACACCCCACCCCCCAGCCATAACTTATGAACGGTCGCTTACCTATCCGACAAACGTATGTGCTGGAGGGGAATGTTCTGTGTTTGGTTTACGAAATACAGTTTGTTTGCCGAGTGTGTCTCCGTTTCGCAAACACCATGGGACACTTGCATGCTTATTGCCCATAACTTGTACGTTTCGGAAACCTAGGCTAAGTGGATAATAAACTATTTATCATGTAATGCCATTCCAGATTTATCTATTGTTTTGGACATTCTTTTACTTGCGTATGAATACAATTTTTAAGCAACATTTAGTTATTGTGTGCCAAATTATTTGCATTCATTGTTGCCAACAGAAAAATACGTGACATCGTCATACTCCTACATAAGCTGATTATGACACTCAGTCAACAAGTTGATAAACACAGCATATTGATAAGTGGAGATAAAAAAAGTTCCTGATAGGTGGCCTCATTTATATGTTTATCACATCGTGGTGCCAAGTTTGATTCAGTATGATTCTAAATTGGTTTTGTGGCTGTTTCCTCCATTTTAACAGGCGTTGTACCACGCTTGGTGGCAGTCCCGTGGATGTCACGTAATGGTACTCGTTAGATAAAACGCGGTTGTGGGGAAAAGCGCTCTATTGCATAACAATGGGAGCCCCGCTCACAACTAGTATTGCACAAAAAATCCTGTCTTTATATTAACGACACTTACTAAAACTCTAATTGCCCATCTTGTATTATAACGGATATGTTTAAACTCTTACCTTCAGCGATGCTTTTCAGGATGTCTTGATTTTAGTGACATAAGACAGAGACCGCCCGCACGAGAAGTGATGCCGGTGAAATTTCTACTCCCATGCTTCAGTTATCCGATGTGTTCACAGTTCACACCATTACATTCAAATGACACGCTGATTCTACCTCAAACCGTTGATGACGGTGATGCTCTGTTACTACGTCACTGCAATTCAAATTTGCCCGCGGAATACGTCAGGAAGAATGCCCCCAATTTCTCGTTTATTGGTGCGGTAGAACTTGATGTATAGGCTTATGCATTTCCTTTCCTGTGTTCCTGTTTTCAAATGTTTTTAGAAAGACACTTGTGATTATTTATCACAAATGATCAAGTGATAAATAAATATTTACAAGTGAGCAAGAAATATGTTTTTCAAGATTAGCTAATGTTGATCACAACACTAGACATTCATCAACTCAAGTCCATTACAGTCTAGTAAGGGCATCATTTTTGTATGTGTAGCCACCAAGTTCAGAAACCCGAAAAGAAACAACATAATAAAGACAAATTTATCTGAATACTGTTCTTGATTTTCATTTAATTGTAATTTTTATTACAATTTCTCGCGTTCTTTGAAATTGCCGCCATATAGCTGGAATATTGCAAAGTGCGGCGTACAACTAAACTCACTCACTTTTAGGAATGAAAAAAATGAAATTTATTTTCATTGTTGGTTTATTTCATTTTTTATTTTATTTTGTTTTTTGGGTTGTTTTGTTTTAGGGGGCAATAAAATCAGAAGGGTCGGTCGGGCGATGAGAAACGCAAAAAAATAAAAATGCTGCCCTAATAATTTGGAATGAAGGAGTGTATATGAATATAATATAGTTTTTTGAACCGGAGTTACCCCCGTTCATTATTCCGAATTTATAATTAGCCAGTAAATAGAAATTGTCTAAAGAACTAACAGCAGCGGAAGTGTCTTTCAGATAGTGTACGGAATTACAATACGTGTACGATATTGGAAGAAATAGCGTACGGTATTAAAGTCACTCTGTACGAATTTAAATGACCAAGGGTAGCTTCCTTTGACTAAACGCATGGTTAAAACGGAAAACGGAATGCACAACCGGTTTACTGGGCAGGCAAGATGATTGGACAACCTTTTAAACAGTATGCGCAATGACATAGTATTTGTGTAGGAAGCGATTCAAGGGATACCGGTGGCCAAACGTGTACGGTATTCGGAGTACTGACTCTATATTCTTAAACATGTCAAAGTACTTTTTTAGAGAAAAATAGAGTTACTTGTTTGTTTATTACAATAGTGTTATTGTTATACACAAATACCTTGAAATAAATGATGTTAAATCTTAATACTGTGTCATTCTTTCAAGGTGTATGTATCGTGATACGTATCGATAGCAGGTAAAATATTGCGATGCGTATCATATCATGATATAGTGTATTGTCTCAGCCCTATGTTCTGGTATGATATGGTTTGGTATTTATTATGTACATGTTGGAGAGTTAGGATTGATTTTGTTTGTTTGTTTGTTTGTTTGTTGCTGTACTCAGCAATATTCCAGCTATATGGCGACGGTCTCTAACCATTCTTAACTTTGAATCGTTTCTTTGTTGGATGTCATAATGAGTGAGTCAGTTTGGTTATATCATCACGTTGAGGCATTTTCCAGCTGTATGACTTATGTCATCTTCAAAGTGATCCATCCGAAAGTGATCCATGTCTGGTGTAGCAACTTTCAGCTCGCACTTCTCTTGACGTGACACTGACCGACTCCGTGAATGTTCTTGCAATAGCTGCATAAACAACGCAAACTTGAATGTCTTGTTTTCTGTTTACTGATCCATTCCCATTGTTACACTTCTTCGCATGCATAATAAGACAATAACTCATAGGTGTGGACCGTCAAAACAGTCAAGTATTCCCTTGGATACAAATCTGACACGCTTCGCACCCGTCCATCATTTCTAGAGCACACATCGTCACCTCCCGTTCAAGGGAAGCAACTCCACCCTGCTACCAACGCTAGCCGCTAAATAAAATTGCAATTTCGCTGGCTACTGTTACATCTGGTATGATTTCAACTTTGGTGGAACCGGCAATCATGGGCAGGCATCAGTGAACAATTTTGTATCAGTTTCAGAAAAAAATGGACACCATGGACAAATGAGCCACAGTGTCTGCATATCATTATGTGAACATATTGTGCACAGATATGTTGATGATCCATTTCACCGTTTATTTGCAGGCTTTCTTATTCTGAAACATTTTGTTCTCATGTATAGTTGGTATGCCATTTTTCATGCATGTACAAGAAAAGTTATTTATTTCAGCTGACAGTAATCCACTGAGGTTGATATCAACAAAATCTGATGTATTAGGTGTGTTCATAGACAGCTCGGATTCTTCCCTTCGGGCGACCATGTCAGGGAGTTCAACAGATCCCGAGCTCTACAAGCTGATTGATTTAAACAGAAAGAGTGATACTTCTGATGAAGAATTTAATAGCAGACCATCCTGCAGATTGGACAAGATGGACAGCAGCTTACAAGAACACATCGGAGGACCTAGCCCAAGCTTAATGGAATCACAACAGTCTCCAGTGAAGATGATTGGAGCTTCTCATAAACCAAAAGAAGTCAAGAGAAGTAAGATCAGCTCTAAGGTTTCATCAGGGAAGAGCAGCTCCAGTACAGAGGACAGCATGTCATCTGACAGTCGAAGAAGCAAAGCAAAACTTGGACGTATAATCAGTAAAAAGGATACTCCAGGATTAGGGAAAGCTCCCAGCATGAGTAAAAGGAGGGACATTTCAGATTCTAAGCTGCCCATTCAATTAGGTGCTCATCCAGTTGTGTTGAATCCTATTGGTTCAAGTTCAGCCACACCTACAGATGTCCATACATTGAAAGGTCATAAGAAGGGAACTTTGTCACAAGCCAGTGCAAAATATCAAGTAGCTCGCCGACTGGATTTCAGTCCTCCTACTGCGTCTAGTTCAGATGTGAGTTCTCCATCAGAAGAACCTGACAAGTTGCAACATAGGAAAGTTCCAAGAAAAAGAGCACCTACAGCTATCTTTTCCGAGTCACCATCATCTAGTGATAGCTTTGAGCAACAGATTGAGATACTCCAAGGACCGACTACTCCTTTATCACGTCCACCATCAGCAACAGAGCTTCAGGTGCCATCAACGCTATGTATATCTGGAGCTGTATCAGTCATTGGGTATGAGAAAGAGACTGATCTGAGGTGAGTTGTCAAATGATGCACATGTTAATAATGATTATCACATTCATGCGTAATAGTCATATTCATAATCATATGATTGACAGGACCTCTGAAGGATTGTGGGCTCTTTTATGGCATGGCAGGAGTTTTTTTCTCATTTTCCAGTGTTATTCCTTTTATACTTTAATACAAGATGTCATATAAACCAAACAGATTGCATGATGAGGATATGTGTTTGTCTAAAATTTGTGTAATGTCTTTTATGGCTAATGTGGGTTTTTTTTCACTTTTCCCATTAAATGAAATAGAAAAATACATATTTAAACTTTTATATAGGTATTTAAGTACATTAACTTTGTATATTCAGAGAAAGAGAAGCAGAAATATCTACATCCAGCCTACCAGCACCGCTTCCTACCCCAGACCTCCTTGCACCATCTCCATTCATGAGGAGGACAGGGCAGCCTCTTCCTCCTGTCATGGGTAAGTCATCTTCTTCATGCCAGGAACCACAGGTCACACCAGAACTTCCAACAAAGAAGCAAGTGAAGATGAAACAGGATTCCCTTACCCTCATGGGGGCAAAGGTAAAACGCCCCAAACCTACCAAGGATGTCTGGTTCAAACAGGATGAAACAGAACCTAAGGATATGCGGTTCACACCAGATCAAAGAGCTACAAAGGAAGCCCAGTTCAAACATGATCAAACAGATACCAAGGAAGTCCGATTCCAACTTGAGCCCACTACCTCAAAGGAGTTCCGGATGAAAGAGCATTCTTTAAGTAACAAGGACATAACAGTCAAAATGATTCATCTTCCCACAAAGAAGTAAAGTTCAGCCTGGATCCTTCATCCACCAGGCCTAGACAGGAACATCCTTGTGTCAATGAACCAATGGTGAGGAAGGACACCCCATCAGATCAGAGTCTTCATAGCAGAGATTCAAGGTTCAGAAAAGAAAAGTTTGATCCTCTGACCAAAGACTCCACATTTAAACAGGACCTTTCAACCACCAAAGAGGCTAGGTTCAGACAGGATCCTCCAGCCAAAGACTCAGGGTTAAGACTGGATCATTCTACCTCGAAAGAGACAAGGTTTAGACGGGATTCCACAGCAAAGGACTCAGGGCTAAGACAGGACTCTTCCAATGCCAAAGAGATGTGGCTTAGACGGGATACTCAAGAATCAGGTTCAGGTCCAAGAGTGGATACTTCTGTTGCCAAAGACACCAGGTTTAGACAATATCTTTCAACCAAAGACTCACAGTTAAGACTGGACCCTTCCAGTTCCAATAGGGCAAGGTTCAGAGAGGATCCTCAAAATCCTGCACAAGAGATGAGGTTGAGATGGGATACTCCAGCCAGTGACACAGAGCTAAGACTGGACCCTTCCACTGCACAAGAGATGAGGTTCCGACATGATTCTCCAGGCACAGACATGGAGTTAAGACTAGACCCTTCCTCTGCCCAAGAGATGAGGTCCAGACCGGATCCTCCAGCCACAAGCTCAAGCTTCAGACAGGGTCCTTCCACTGCACAAGAGATGAGGTCCAGACAGGATCCTCCAGCCACAAGCTCAAGCTTCAGACAGGATCCTTCCACTGCACAAGAGATGAGGTCCAGACAGGATCCTCCAGCCACAAGCTCAAGCTTCAGACAGGGTCCTTCCACTGCCCAAGAGATGAGGTCCAGACAGGATCCTCCAGCCACAAGCTCAAGCTTCAGACAGGATCCTTCCACTGCACAAGAGATGAGGTCCAGACAAGATCCTCCAGCCACAAGCTCAAGCTTCAGACAGGATCCTTCCACTGCTCAAGAGATGAGGTCCAGACAGGATCCTCCAGCCACAAGCTCAAGCTTCAGACAGGATCCTTCCACTGCTCAAGAGATGAGGTCCAGACCCAATCCTCCAGCCACAAGCTCAAGCTTCAGACAGGATCCTTCCACTGCCCAAGAGATGAGGTCCAGACAGGATCCTCCAGCCACAAGCTCAAGCTTCAGACAGGATCCATCTGCTTCAAAGCATGTACAATTCAAAGAATTGCCTGCCTCCAAGCAAGTTCAGTTCAAACAAGACATTACCACATCAAACACTCAAGCTCCATGGATGAGACGGGCCCAGGCAGAACCACAAAGTGCAGGCACATCTAGTCAGTTGAGAGCTGGAAGTACTCAAGTCAGGCTCACAAGGAGGTCTAGAGTAGAGAAACCATCCCTTCCCCCACCCAAATCATCCCAGTCAAAGAAAGGCAATTTCCCTCATGTCAGCAAACACTAGTGGGCTGTTGACACTGCTTCCCCTGTCTGTCAGCTACTGTGGCAACGTTGATATAGCTAGGGATTCACACTTCAGGCCACAGCCATGTCACCCTGGACAGAAACCTTGACCATGAACAGTAGTGAGTTTCTTGTCAGTATACTTGGTTGAAGAGTACATAATCATTTTTTTTGTAAACTGAGATGTCATTTAGAGAAGCTGGCAAATTTGGAATTGGGCAGTCCTATATGACAGAATGCATTAGGTATTTTACAATGCATTTTGAGGCATTTTGTCCTAACTCTGCAGGTCAGTCCCTTCAGTGTATTGTTCATTTTGGGGATTTAAGAATAGACCACAATAATTTTTACTTGCATAGTGGCTATGGTGGGTATAGGTAACAGGCATTGGGAAGTGCATATTCAGACTAGGTTATGAGTGTGTGGATGCCTTTCTGTTTCAGGATCACTGACATTGTGAAGCACATATTCCACTTCCATACTCCATTGCTAAAGTGGGTATCTTCCTGTGTTAGATCACAGGCATTATGAGACGCATATACAGACTTGGTTTATTATAAATGTGTACAGGCAAACCTTTCACTTCTTTGTACCAAGTGATTGCTGAAGTGGGTACCTTTCTATATTGTACCACAGGCATTATGAGTCATGTATTCAGACTTGGGTTGTTATGAACAGTCTGTTACCATTGCTGAAGTGGGTACCTTCCTGTATAAGAACAAAGGCATTGTGAGGTGTATATTCAGACTGGGTTTATTATGAACATGTCATTTCCATGTACCATTGTACATTGCTGTCCTTTGAGTCGAAACTCCAGCATGTGAGATTCACAGGGACAGATATGGTGGACACACTGTTGCGAGAGTGTGAAGCCCTGTCCAAATAGCAGCTTGCTCATATCTTGAGAGCATACATGGACCAGAAGCTTATTCATCCTTAGCCAGGATATATTGCTGTCTTTCCAGTAGGAATTTCAGGACTGATTTTGTTCCAGCATGTTAGATTCACACAGCCAGAGTTTAAAGCCACTTCGGTCACTTGCTTGCTCTGATCATAAGAACCGTCATTGACCAGACTGCAGTTGTACACAGCGATCTTAGCACTAAGTTCACCATTACCCCAATACCCAAGACTTACAACAGTCCAAGGTTGCTTTGTGCAATGCCTCCTACCCAGAGGCTTATCTGCAGTTTGCCAGGATACATTGAGTTATCCCTCCAGTGGGCATGTCATGTAGTGAAGTTACCGCATGTATAGATTATGTTTTTCAAATTATCTCTCCTTGTTTAAATGGACAATACTTAAGTCGACATTAATTCCAATATAACTAACACAACTAACAAAACTAACCCAATATACAGTTTCGACCTACTTCTACTGTACTATAATACCCTGCTACTAATACTACTACTATACTAACATTCACATTCTACCACTACCACTTATACTTCACTGAAATCCTACATTGACCAGTGGCTGATTCTTTCTTTGCCCTGATATCTGTCCCTGGCTGGGGGTTCCAACTGATATCTTGTCCCTGGCTGGGGTTCCAAATGAGATTATGGCCCAAGCATGCAAGATCCTCATAGTCAGTAATGGTCAAAATACTGGTGTTAGAGGGTAAAGCAATTTCCAATCACTTGTTTGTACACTTGTGAAAGCCTACATTGATCAGAAGCTATTTATCCTTTGCCCTGACACCTTGTTGTCTCGAGATCGGTGATGGTTTCAGAAGAGATTATTTACTAAGCATGCAAAATTCTTACAGACTGATGCGATCAAAATACTGATGCAAGAGTGCAAAGCAGCTCCAATTACTTGCTTGCACACTTATGAAAGCCTACATTGATCAGAGGCGTATTTATTCTTCACCCTGATACCTTGTTGTTTCTGGGTTTGGGTTTCAGGAGAGATTATTTACCAATCATGCAAGATTCTTACAGACTGATATGGTCAAAATATGGGTGCAAGAGTGCAAAGCAACATCCAGTCATATGAGAGCCAGCATTGACCAGAGGCTTGTCAAACTTTTGTCAGGAGACATTGTTGCCACATTGTTGTGAAGTAACCCCATCTATAGATTTCTCAAAATTCCTTTCCTCATTTCAGGATGAATTTAACCTCCTGTAACCACACTTAAATCAAATCTAATTCCAAACTAACACACAACTAACAATACTAACTCCATATAAATGTTTGGCCTACTTCTACTGTGTACTGTAATACCCTGCTACTAATACTACTACTATACTAACATTAACATTCTACCACTACCACTAATACTTCACTTCATTGACCAAAGGGCTTATTCATTCTTCACCCTGATATCTTGTCCCTGACTGGGGGTTCCAGGAGAGATAATAGACCAGGCATGCAAGATTCTCATAGATAGTTATCGTCAAACTACTGGTGCTTGTGTGTAAAGCAACTTCTGATCAATTGCTTGGACACTCATGAAATCCTACATTGACTTGTGGCCTATTATACTCTGTCTTGATACGTTGTTGTCCATCTGGTGGAGTTTCCGTGACAGGATAGGGGCCAATCATGAGCCAAATGATTAAAGGCTTGGTTATCCTCTGCCAAGATACATTGTTTCTCCACGTTGGGGATTCCACCACAGATTATGTACCCAGCATACACGATTCTCACAGACAGCAGTAGTCAAAATTCTGATCCCTAAGTGCAACAGAGATTCCATTCCCTTGCTTGCACACTTCATAATACCTGCATTGACCAGAGGTTTCTGTATCTGTCGAGGATGGGTGGGGGGGTAGCCTAGGGGTTAAAGCGTTGGCTTGTCACGCTGAAGACCCAGGTTGGATTCCCCACATGGGTACAATGTGTGAAGCCCATTTCTGGTTGCTGGAACATTGCAAAAAGCAGCATAAAACCATATTCACTCACTATCTGTCGAGTGCCAATTTGCAATGATATGTTGTCCCTCCAGTGGGGATTCCAAGGTTTCTGTGTGATGTTCTCAAGTATTCGTAACCAAGGAAATCCTGGTAAGTTTAAAGCCCTTTCCAATCATTTGACAAGAGCCTGCATTGACCAGAACCTTACCCATCCTTTATCATTATGCATAGTTGTCCATCAAAGGGGATTCAGTGGCAGAACTGCCCCAGTATGTTAAGGTTTCACAGACTGTAGCTAAAATACTACTGCTAGAGTTGAGTGTAAATCCCATTTCAGTCACTTGTTTGGACATCATAAGAGCCTTCATGCTTACCCATCCTTGCCATGATACAGTGTGGTTCTTGGACAGAATGGGATCTTAGCAGTACTCAGTTGAGACAGGATAAGATGACATTAAGTTATGAATGGTTCTTTCATCAGTGACTACTAGGAAAGACACAAAATCTGTCTAGTTTACCTGCAGCCTTTACCATGCACTCGGTCACTACCATCAGCCAAGCCAGTTTGTTTTTCAATTATTTCAACTTGTTTAACTTTCCTTGCAAATTTTTAGTGTGAAATGTGGGGATGAAGCTCACCTGGAAAGACTTTCTAAAGTTTTCTGCAACAGACACATTCTTGTGGGTTCTAATGCTAAATACCTTTTGACTTGAAACTTCATACTCTCACCATAACAGGTCCTTGGGACACATGGCTGTATATGAATAGTGTGAATTCATAATATTTATTTTTGTTTTTGGTTATATTTTGCAAATAGTTATTAACTTTTAAACTGCTCCACTCTTATTCAGTGTAATCAGTCGATATTATGTTGTCGATAAATTCCAGTTTGGGGTCTCAATTTGTACTTACAATTCATTTTTGGCTAATTTTTAGCCAAGTTGTATCAAAAATGTGAAAGAATCACAATAGTTTTGTTTGTACCCTGATACTAAAGGGAAAGCTATGTCAACATTAATGATGTAGGTGAGCTACAGTGTCTGTTTTTATTGTTGCTGACATAGGGAAGGGGAAAGCGTGATCTCAGTCTTTTACATCCATAATATCTATAAATATCTCTTGTTTTTGTGTTTGTGATTAAAGAAAGAATCTTTGATTGCCTTGCTTTTGCTGTTATTTAATTTGCAAGAATGTTATCTTTAGCTAATGGGTGTTAATACATACTCCGGTCTGCAGACAACTGCTCAGTACCACAGGGAGTTCAAAAATGATGCTTTGGTTGTATTATCTGTGTAGAGGTTGTACTGAGGTTATATGTACCTGGTTGTAAGGAGAATGAACTCCCAAAATCCATGAGCAATAGAGTACCAGTAGCTAATATGTTGAATTTGTGACTACCAGCATGTGTTGATGACAAGGCATCAGTACAGCTGTAAATAATATTGTTATTGTTATGATGAATATTGGTGCTATATGTGATATTTGATTGCATGAATTGTTTTATTGAGGATACTGTTATGTGCTGTATGTGTGAATAATGCCATGACATGTTGCAGATTTCTAGATTTAATGTAGTGATCATTTTCAGTCTGGAGATTGATGGGCCCAGGAAATTGGCATTGTATACAAAACTATGTAAAAGTACCTGATACTGATGGACCACAGATCTATCATACTTAGAAGGTAACAAATTTCATGTCAATGTTAATTTATGGAAATTTGTCCATGGTCCACTAAATATGTTCATGATGAAGTTGTGTTTTGAGTGATTGTTGTATGATGCAAGTGCTTATTGGGATGATACATTAGTGACAGTAGAATCTTGAATTTTAAATTATGAAATTTCAACATGCTGATTGTTGAATGTTGTGTAGATGATGGTAGTACTCTAATGTTGATGATTTTGGTTTTTAGAAATGTGATATGTACACTAGGTTTTATGATGATGATGATGATAAAGATGAAGCTTTAGGAAATAATTATGATGGATGTGATATTTATACCAGTCCCTTAAATGGTGCTGCTGCTGCTGCTGCTATTTGATGTATTCTCTAGTGCTAAAAGAAGTGTTAGTTGTTTTCATATGATATACCAGTATGCACTAGTGATTTTTCTAATTTTGGTGCTAATGATACAATCTTT